CGATATAAAGATAACCCTTCAACTATTTAAAAAATTGTAAAAATGAAAAATATTTCTTCTTCTTTAACTAATTGTTTACACAAAATATGTAAAAAAATAGAAAAAAAAATTGTAAAAATAATAATTCAAAAATTTGAAAAAAAAATATACAAAATAAAAACAATAAAAAAAGTTATTTTAATTCTATCTCTTCCCAATTTTGCTAAGACAATTTTGGCCTCTAACTCAAAAATGCATGGTGATACTACTTCATAATTGGTAAGGGGTAGGAACTGAAGCGAATGTTGAAGTTTGGAGTTTCTAGATTTTTTATTTAGTTGGTTATATAGAAGTAACTTCTTTGTATTGATATTTTTGAACAATAATGATTTAGAATAAATAGAATACATTAACTGAAAAAATTCTCAATAATTAAAGTAATTTATTAGAGTTTTGATTTATTTGTGTTATTTTTATTCTTTTTTCGTTAAGGATCCAATTATGCATATGTCTATGTAAGTTTTCCCTAAGATAATTTACATCAACCCTAAATTTTTGTGGTATTGCATTTCTTCCAAACAATAATGTGCAAGGTACATTTTTGATTCATAGTATAAAACTCAAAATAAAGTAATAGAGATTCAATAATATTTGTAATAAAAGGGAAATGCACCACGAAAAAGAGTAAGTAGGAGTGTTGTATGAGGTTATGTCCTTATCTAATGAGGTTGATGAAGTATTCCTCCCTATCCTCATAAACATATTAAAAAAAGAGAGAATTAAAGACTGCCTAGAATTTCTCTCGTAAGATCAAAACAAAATGGAAAGGGAAAAGGTAGAAACTAATCTCTGCTTGAAAAAGTGTAGACTCTTAATGGAGAGAAGAACATTAAGATAATAACAGGTGTCCTCAAAAAAGTTAAGGATCATGACTTTAATACACAGAATTACTCTATGGATGATTATAAAGAATTTAAAAAGGATCTAATCACAGAAATATCATTGAATAAGAAGATAATAGAATTCCTAAAATTTTTAGTTCAACTGACTGCTTTAGATGAGACCTATATTTGGTGTGGATCAAATTCCCTTCATTTACTAGTTTTAATGAAAATTGATTTGAAAGAAATATGTGTCGAGAATATTAGAATAAGAAATGCTTCAATAATAGGAGCTAACTTGGTAAGATGTGATTTAAGTGGATCTGAAATGGATAATATCATTATCAGTGGAGTGAATTTGAATTAAGCCAAATTATTTAATTGTAAGTGGAGGAATTTAGGTATAAATGAGCGAATTTAGTTTAACGGTCATATTGTTGGAGTAAATTAAGTTTGCTTTTCTCCAGATGGTAAGTCATTAGCATCATGTAGCAATGACAATTCGATTATTTTGTGGGCTGTTAAAAAAGGGAAAATAAAGTTCAGAATCAAAATGAAGAGGCAAGTAACACTAGTATGCTTCTCACCTAACAATACTATATTAGCTTTCAGCCAGAGAAATGTTGTGTATTTATGGAATCTTAGAACTGAAAAATAAATGTCAACATTAAACGACCATCCACATTATGTTAAATCAGTTAACTTCTCTCCTGATGGCGCAACAGTAGCATCTAGTTCAGATGAGTTTATCTATTTATGGGATTTTAAGACAGGATAATAAAAAGCTAAATTAGATGCTCATCTAGGTTATGTTCATTCAGTCAATTTCTCTCCTGATGGTACTATATTAGCATCCGGTGGTTTTTGCATCCATTTGTGGGATGTTAAGTCAGGATAATAAAAAGCCAAATTAGATGGTCATGCACATTTTGTCAATTTCTCTCCTGATGGTACTGCATTAGCATCTAGTGGTTATGATAAGTCTATCTGTTTATGGGATGTTAAGACAAGATAAAAAAAGCAAAGTTAGATGGTCATTATGGAAGGGTTTATTCAATTTGTTACTCTCCTGATGGGGCTGCATTAGCATCTGGTGGTGATGATAAGTCTATCCGTTTATGGGATGTTAAGACAGGATCATAAAAGCCAAATTAGTTGGTCATTAAAGTTATGTTACTTTAGTCTCCTGATGGTACTACATTAGCATCTAGTAGTGATGATAAGTCTATCCGTTTATGGAATGTTAAGTCAAGTTAATAAGATGGTCATTCTGGATATGTTATGTCAGTATAATTCTCTCCTGATGGTACTGCATTAGCAACTGGTAGTCATGATAACTCTATCCGTTTTTGGGATGTTAAGACAGGATAATAAAAAGCCTAATTAGATGGTCATTCTGGGACAGTTAATTCAATTTGTTACTCTCCTGATGGTACTACTTTAGCATCTGGTAGTGATGATAACTCTATCCGTTTATGGGATGTTAAGACAGGATCCTAAAAAGCCAAATTAGTTGGTCATTAAAGTTATGTTGCTTCAGTCAATTTCTCTCCTGATGGTACTACATTAGCATCTGGTAGTGATGATAAGTCTATATGTTTATGGGATGTTAAGACAGGATAATGTAGAGTAAAATTAGATGGGCATTCATCATCTGTTTATTCAGTTATTTTCTCACCTGATGGTACTACAATAGCTTCTGGTAGTTCAGATAAGTCTATCCGTTTATGGTATGTTTAAACAACAATAGAGATTATACCTCGAGATAATTGTTACAAAGACCTTCTTTCTTAGTTTAAATTTCCACTTTATCATCAATTCTGTTTATATAATTGTAATTATATGTATTACTCTTTAGGTACAATAGATCACACAATACTAAGAATATGTAAAAATCCTATTTTGGAAATAGAAGGAGCGTTAATTTTGAAAGGAGAATTTATTGATTATTAAGGATATGATTTGCGATAATTATTTAAATCTAAAGGAAGTTTTATTTTAGAGAATGAACTTAAATAGAAACAAAGTTGATAATTGTTAAACAATAAAATATATTACATCAATTTAATTTTATTCTAAAATGTTAATTGCTATAATTTGAGTTAAATGCTTGTAAAATCTCATAATTTTTTATACTGGAATTAATTAAACTCTTTTTTTCGAACAGAGAAACGTGTATTTAAGATTAGTATTTTTTAGCATAATTTAAGCTTCAACAATTTTAAATTATTTTTTTCCTTAGATTACCATTCTTAAAATTTCTTTTAGTCCAAATTGAAAGGCTTTCGGAGCTTTAATATTGAAAGGAGAATTTATTTATTAGAAAGGATATGATTTAGTATTGTATTATTTGTAAGTAAATCCTGATTGCAAAAATACTTCAACTGAGAAAGAAATATTTTGTTTCAAACAACTTAATATAATACATATTAATACACACGATATCCCTCTATAGAAATACTATATATATATCAGTCAAAACTGAGAATCCTTTTAAACATACTCGAAAAAAAATCTAATTAAGAAGAAGTGTTTCACTATTTAGACTTGACATAGATCCTAAGGTTAAACTTTATAGATTAAAATCATCAGTTCAAAACCTGTGATTTATTTAATGGTTAGATATGTATGTAATGATTATTGATCTTTACAGTGTTCAAATTATAATTTCTTTAAATAATATTGATTAAAGTATGTTTTAGTATTTTGAACCTCATTTGTCGATGTACTTAAGCATATTACAATAAGAATTAGTCAAATGAAATTTATGATTCATCAAACAATAATTTTTTGTAGAAATAATTATTTAAAAACTGACATTGAATTTTAGAAAGTGCAAGAAATAGTTCAAATTTATAGAAAGCTTAATATTATTTAATTGGCAAGAAAAATTGTGCTTCCAACATTATTTTTTTTATAAACAGAATTTATAAATAGAATATATAGAGTATCCAAAAGATTTGCCCTAGCATAGGGAATATTTAAACTAGTTAACTAGCAACCAAAAATAGGTATTGGAGATTGAGGTCTAAAGGTAAGGCAGAATGAGCCAAACAAAACAGTCGGGCAAAAACCTCAACAGAGTTATTAAGAAGGTAAAGACAAATCCAAAAAGTTGTATTTATTTTTTACATATCATTGTAAATTTATTCATAATTAAAAAAGTCAAATTAGAGAAATACAACCTTGGTCTACTCTCCCATTTTCCAAAATTTTCTAAATGCTAAAAAATACTATAACATTGCTGCTTAAAATCTTTCCACTTAATGGAATAATGAATTAGCTAAAATTATTTCAAAATATTGAGATTACCTTTGTAATAATAATAATTGAAAGCTTCTCCATTTTTATTCAATTTATTTAGTATAAAAGCTATACTGATAAAAATACAATTAGCCCTTTAATTTATTAAATTTTTTTTTTGACGACCTTTATTAAAATAATATTCTGAAACTTAAGGGTTTTTCAAAATTGCTCAATCATAATAGTTCTATGACTCTTCCAATCTATTCAGTTCAAATAAGGTATTTCCTAAATAAGAGAAATTTCAATCTTTTGCCCTTTTAGTTGCCTGAATTTTCAGGCCTCTTCAAATTTCTTAATTAATTTGATAATGATATCAGATTTTCCATAAGTAGAAGTTTTACTGCTAAATCAAAATTGAACAAGGCCTCTTCAAATTTATTAATTTCTATTATAATGGCATCACACTTCACATATGCAAATTATTATAATTTATNCTCTCCTGATGGTACTACATTAGCATCTGGTAGTGATGATAAGTCTATATGTTTATGGGATGTTAAGACAGGATAATGTAGAGTAAAATTAGATGGGCATTCATCATCTGTTTATTCAGTTATTTTCTCACCTGATGGTACTACAATAGCTTCTGGTAGTTCAGATAAGTCTATCCGTTTATGGTATGTTTAAACAACAATAGAGATTATACCTCGAGATAATTGTTACAAAGACCTTCTTTCTTAGTTTAAATTTCCACTTTATCATCAATTCTGTTTATATAATTGTAATTATATGTATTACTCTTTAGGTACAATAGATCACACAATACTAAGAATATGTAAAAATCCTATTTTGGAAATAGAAGGAGCGTTAATTTTGAAAGGAGAATTTATTGATTATTAAGGATATGATTTGCGATAATTATTTAAATCTAAAGGAAGTTTTATTTTAGAGAATGAACTTAAATAGAAACAAAGTTGATAATTGTTAAACAATAAAATATATTACATCAATTTAATTTTATTCTAAAATGTTAATTGCTATAATTTGAGTTAAATGCTTGTAAAATCTCATAATTTTTTATACTGGAATTAATTAAACTCTTTTTTTCGAACAGAGAAACGTGTATTTAAGATTAGTATTTTTTAGCATAATTTAAGCTTCAACAATTTTAAATTATTTTTTTCCTTAGATTACCATTCTTAAAATTTCTTTTAGTCCAAATTGAAAGGCTTTCGGAGCTTTAATATTGAAAGGAGAATTTATTTATTAGAAAGGATATGATTTAGTATTGTATTATTTGTAAGTAAATCCTGATTGCAAAAATACTTCAACTGAGAAAGAAATATTTTGTTTCAAACAACTTAATATAATACATATTAATACACACGATATCCCTCTATAGAAATACTATATATATATCAGTCAAAACTGAGAATCCTTTTAAACATACTCGAAAAAAAATCTAATTAAGAAGAAGTGTTTCACTATTTAGACTTGACATAGATCCTAAGGTTAAACTTTATAGATTAAAATCATCAGTTCAAAACCTGTGATTTATTTAATGGTTAGATATGTATGTAATGATTATTGATCTTTACAGTGTTCAAATTATAATTTCTTTAAATAATATTGATTAAAGTATGTTTTAGTATTTTGAACCTCATTTGTCGATGTACTTAAGCATATTACAATAAGAATTAGTCAAATGAAATTTATGATTCATCAAACAATAATTTTTTGTAGAAATAATTATTTAAAAACTGACATTGAATTTTAGAAAGTGCAAGAAATAGTTCAAATTTATAGAAAGCTTAATATTATTTAATTGGCAAGAAAAATTGTGCTTCCAACATTATTTTTTTTATAAACAGAATTTATAAATAGAATATATAGAGTATCCAAAAGATTTGCCCTAGCATAGGGAATATTTAAACTAGTTAACTAGCAACCAAAAATAGGTATTGGAGATTGAGGTCTAAAGGTAAGGCAGAATGAGCCAAACAAAACAGTCGGGCAAAAACCTCAACAGAGTTATTAAGAAGGTAAAGACAAATCCAAAAAGTTGTATTTATTTTTTACATATCATTGTAAATTTATTCATAATTAAAAAAGTCAAATTAGAGAAATACAACCTTGGTCTACTCTCCCATTTTCCAAAATTTTCTAAATGCTAAAAAATACTATAACATTGCTGCTTAAAATCTTTCCACTTAATGGAATAATGAATTAGCTAAAATTATTTCAAAATATTGAGATTACCTTTGTAATAATAATAATTGAAAGCTTCTCCATTTTTATTCAATTTATTTAGTATAAAAGCTATACTGATAAAAATACAATTAGCCCTTTAATTTATTAAATTTTTTTTTTGACGACCTTTATTAAAATAATATTCTGAAACTTAAGGGTTTTTCAAAATTGCTCAATCATAATAGTTCTATGACTCTTCCAATCTATTCAGTTCAAATAAGGTATTTCCTAAATAAGAGAAATTTCAATCTTTTGCCCTTTTAGTTGCCTGAATTTTCAGGCCTCTTCAAATTTCTTAATTAATTTGATAATGATATCAGATTTTCCATAAGTAGAAGTTTTACTGCTAAATCAAAATTGAACAAGGCCTCTTCAAATTTATTAATTTCTATTATAATGGCATCACACTTCACATATGCAAATTATTATAATTTATGATTACCTTTCAAAGTGTAGTTGTATGGTAATTCAGGGTTGTTTTAAATCTGCAAATTGTGAAATTTATTGTTTACCTTTTTAAAAAAAAGTAGATGGTTCTTCAGAATGCATCTATAGCCTTAGTATGAACCGAAAACGCTTCCTCGCTTTTTTAAATTTTTTATAAATTATTATATTGTTCAAAATAAATCAAATTATTGCTGTTAAAATATGTAATTATTTGGATTTTCAAGGTTTTTCTGAATGGCTAAATAAGAATATTCTAATGCTTCCTCAAATATATGCATTTCAGCTAGACTTATGACAATTTTTAATTATTTGCTGCATTTTATTGATTTTACTTTTTACCTTTTTTTGAATCAAATTTTGAACATTCAGGG